CGAGTATAAAAGTTACGCCTTCTTTCTTTGCGTGAACATTTGGGTGGCGTTATGCAAATCTTCCCACATTGTAACGTAGACGTGGTGGCTTGTTAGAATGAGCCGTTTTAGGTAGGCGTGGTTGACTCATAACTTTTATAAAGAATATCTCTTTGGATTTGAGACTTTAGTCTTTGCACCTTTACAGATCTTCTTTATGCACCAAGAGCTTGTAACACTCCAAAGAGAAAGGAAACATTGAAATCGCATCATATGACCCCTTTAAATGTCAGTGTTTATGACATGTCAACTTCTTGATACTTCCCCTTGTAATTTCACTACTTTCTCATCTTCTTCATTATATTTCTCATCTTCTCCATTATATATGCCCCCGGTTTCATAGACAAGGCTTTAGCCTAGTCCCAGGCTAAAATGCATATCTGAGCTGTTTTAACTGAAAGAAACTTGCACTGACTCATCTTAAAATGTGTCCGTTTCATTGTTTTGTCTAAGGATGCACACTAGTAGTGTTTTTTATCTAAGGTATGTTTATAAAAACTACTTAAATGTTCTAACTTAACTATGGCCTAATCCTGGCTTAACCTATGCCCTGTCTGTGAAACCGGGCCTTAGATTGTCAAGACAAAAAACTGATACAAAAGCTACTGTTTTCTGATTTTTACACTATGATAAAGTATGATAAACTCATAAATTCATTTTGTTTGACTGACATAGATAGAGCACCAACATGGTTGACCTCCTGGGAAAACTAGGTTGCTGCTGGAAGAGGTGTTAGTGAGGTCTGTGTGAGTCCTAACGCCCCAGTATAGTGATGGGGACACTGCACTGTCAAAAAAGCACCATCCTTCGGATGAGACGTTAAACCGAGGTCCTGACTCTCTGTGGTCATTAAAAATCCCATGGCACTTCTCGTAAAGAGTAGGGGTGTAACCCTTGCCAATCCTGGCCAAATTGCCACCACTGGCCCTTGTCTATCATGGCCTCCTAATAATTCCCATCCACTTGATTGACTCTATGACTCTCTCTCCTCTCCACCTGTAGCTGGTGTGTGGTGAGCGCACTGGCGCTGTTGTCCTGTGGCTGCCGTCGCATCATCCAGGTGGATGCTGCACACTGGTGGTGGTTGAGGAGACTAATCATTTCTATATAACTCCATATCATGTATGTAACCCACATGTGACTTATCAGGTCTTAATCATTTATTGTGTATGTATTTTTAATAACTATTGAATCGCTTAGTGGTTCGTATTCAGGTTTGGTATGTGTGAGTTTGAGAATTCATGCTTGAAACGTTTATTCTAATCACTTCGTTGTCAAATGTATCATATTCTTGTTATAGAAATCATGTCCAAATGTATACTCTGCCAGAGCGGGAAAAACGCGGATCATGTGAATAATGAGATAACAGTTGATTTATGAATGGGGAGGAGGAATATACAACACCCCAAGCAAACACGACATCTAATTTGTCAAAACACCATTTGGGGTGTGTTAAACAGCCTGGTTTAAATACTAGAACCACCATCAAACTTTGCTTTTTGTCTCTCTCTCACGCTCTTCCTTGCCCTTTCGAGCCTTGTTGTTTTTCTTTTAAATCATGCTTCTTTAGTTTTGAGCCTGCTCTGGCTTACACGCCATCTCCTCCAAAACCATGAGGAGAAA